CAGAAACCCCAGACTCCGCACCCTCTGACTCAACATCCCCAGGCTCCGCACCCTCAGGCTCAGTACCCCCAGGCTCAGCACCCCCAGACTCCACACCTCCAAGCTCAGCACCCCCAGACTCCGCACCCTCACACTCAGCACCCCTGGGCTCCGCACCCGCAGGCTCAGCACCCCCAGATGCAGTACCAGCACCTGAGTCTACAGCGACCTCGAAAAGCACACTCCCGGGGAGTGGGTCTACCTGAGACACATTTAAGGGAGCAGGACCCTGAGGGGGGAGGGGGTCTACCGGAGGGGGATCTGGAGCAAGGAAGAGCGGCGGGGGTGGGAGAGGGGCAGAGCGGTAGGGGAAGAGACGGTAAAAGGGAACCGACTCGTCAAACGTGACGTCTTGAGAGGGGAGGACACGGCGCAAGGTGGGGTGGTAAAACTGCCAGCCAGGCGCGTCTAGGGGAAAGCCAAGGAAGACGCAGGGAATAGCGCGGGAGGAGAGCTTGTCCGCGGACGTATCGCGAACAAAAGCACAAGAGCCCCAGACTTGGAACATAGACGCATCGCAAACCTTCCCCGCCCAACGCCGTGTGGGCGAGGTCTCCGGCAAGGAGACACGGGGCCAGAGGTTGAGCTGATGCGCCGCGTACCGGACCGCAAACGACCACAAAAAATGGGGAGCAGCCGCATGGATCATGGAGGTACGAGCCACCTCCATGACTAAGCCAATGCGGCGCTCAGCAATCCTATTTTGCTGCGGTGAGGCCGAAAGCGTGAACGACTGAAGGATGCCCTCCCCATGACAAAAGTCCCGCAAGAGGTCGGAGGAGAACTCACCACCTCTGTCAGAGTGCAGACGCAGGACATGAAGGTCCTGGTGGAATCGCTCGCGAAGCTGGAGACGGACTGCGCATATCCAAGGGATCAAGACATCAGGGACATCATCCTTGCTGCACAAGGGGAAGACTATGGTGTAACGCGTGTAGTTGTCAACAACCAGCAGAAAGTAGCGCTCGCGGCCCTGTCCACTGACGCGGGCTGGGCCCCACACGTCCATGTGGAGAGTCTGCAGGGGAGCACTCGTCGGGGGAAACGAGAAGGAGTGAGGAGCAGCGCGCTGCCGCCCCTCGACGCAAGGAAGGCAGGGTGGGGCAGACGAGGGCGGGAGGGGATGCAGAGACCTGGGAAGACCAAAAACAAGGAGGCGGGAGTGCATGCCACGGAGGCGTGGCAGGGAGGGGTGACCAAGGCGGTGGTTCCACAAAAGAGTCTGGTGCGATAGGAGGCGACACGAGCAGGGGGGTGCAACCGGACATGACGCGGACACCTGGGCAGACGCAGCTACCTGAGGAGGCTCGGTAGCCAGTGTGTACAGACTCGACCCAGGCCGACGTGTGAACGTGGCCAGGTGACGGCCCGTCCGTGTACACGTGCAGATCGACACACGCTGACCCCCAGGAGTGGTGGTAGTGACCATCGTAACTTGGAGGGCAGCGGTACTCACCAAGTTCGTAGAGAACGAGGGGAGGTGAAGACCTGAGAGTGAACCGGACGGAACTGCCGGACACGGGAGAACAGTGGAGGAACGGGCAAGAGTTGGGCCCCCTGAGGGGTCAGCCAGTCTGACCGGTACAGGTGCAGAGAGAGGAGTGAGGGTGGTGCTGTCACGAAAGAAACAGCGAGAAGCACCTGAGTCAAGTGTAAAGGTGTGCCAGGCCTCAGCAGGCGTAGTACCAGGGAGAGAAGACTCACTAGCACCTAGAGGAGCAGCCTCTATTCTTGGGTCAGGCGACACACACAGGTAACAGTCACCCTCAGCACTGACAGACAAGGCATACATGGCTGCAAGGATAGCATCCTAGTCAAGATAAAAGATAGCAACTCTAGACCTAAGCAGCTCTGTCCAACGGGGGCGCTTGGCCTCGTCACCAAACTCTGTGTGCCAAGCGTCGTCGAGGCGGGAGAAGCAGCGGTGCTGAGTGTGAGGCTTCCTGCATATCTGACCAGCACGGTCACCCATGCGAATGACATAGGGACAGCTAACACTACCCCTAGACGCCCCACGCTGAGCAAACCACTCACAAAGCTACTGGGGCGAAGGGGTCTCGCTCCGACACTGTTGCTGCTGCCTCTGGCCACTGCCAGAACCTCCCCTCTGAATAGCTCCACCCCAACTGCCACCACTCCCACCGCTGCCACGACCGCCACCTCCACCGCCCCCACCGCTATCGCCACCAAAGCCCCCACTCCCGCCACCACTCCCACCGCTGCCACCACCTCCGCAACCTCCACCACCTCCACTGCCGCCACCACCACCACCCCCGCTGCCCCCTCCACCACTCCTGCCACCCTTGCCCTTGCTGCTGTGGTGCTTCCCACCAATAGCAGAAGCAGCCCCGACATCCTCGGCACCAAGGACGTCAACAACAGTAGCAGAAGGGTAGGAGGGGGCAAGGGGGGAGGGGGAACACCCCTCAAAGAAGGGAGTGCGAGGAGTGCCACGAGCAGCACCTACAGCGACTACGCTAGTCTCTGCTGCAAGGAGGTGTTTCTCGAGCAGGTCGACAGTGAGGTATGTGGGGTCAAGTGTGAGAAAGTGGTCCCTGACTGCGCGAAGAGAGTCAGGGAGGCGGGTGACTATGAAGTAGAGAGTGATGTACATCGGGGGGGGGGGGAGGGGGGGGGGGGGGGGTTCCTGTCTAGGAACTCTGCTGGGAGGTCAGATCGGTAGCGAGCGTCGCTAGTGCGAAGGTGGGTAACGAGGTCCTCTACCGTGGCAAAGGCGGACAGCTCGGGAAACAGGTAGGGCAGTAGAAGACGGCCTAGAGCAGCAGTAGCAGGGGAGGAATAACGGGCGACTACAGCGTCGTACAGTGCTTTAGCAGTCTTGTGCTGTCCTAAGTGAGCGCGTTCGGCTAACGGCAGGTGGTTGCGAACGGCTAAGCGAGCAGCAGCGTCACGGGTAAGCCACTGTGAGCGAGTCGCACTCTCAGCTGTGGCGGGAGGGGCGAGAGAGGCTCCAGACGTGTGGTCAAACAACGAAACGCTGTCTCTAGAATCACTCAGTAGGTACAACTGTAAGTCATCGAGCTGAATCGGACGGCTCTCATGATCGAAGCTGAGTACACTGATAGAAGCCATAGCAGGCAGAGCAGGGTGGCGCGTGAACAGCAGGGAGGGCGGCACTAGAGCACTAGGGAAGCGCGCAGGGCAGGGCAGGGCGGTGCACAGCAGGGCGGGCAGTAGCCGGGCGGCGCTAGCAGCAGGGCTGGTAGCAGCCGGGCAGCGCAAGCAGCAGGGCGGGCAGCAGCGGGGCGGCGCAATGGCTGCAGAGGAGGCGGCAAGCGGGCCGCAAGGGGCGGCGAGCGGGCTGCAAGTGGCGGCGCGCAGGCTGCAAGAGGGATGGCTCGCGGGCTGCAAGGGGCGGCAAGCGGGCCGCAGGCGGGCGGCGAGCGGGCTGCAGGCGTGCGGCGAGCTGGCTGAAGGGGCAGCGAGCGGGCCGCAAGCAGGCGGCAAGCGGGCTGCAGGGGCGGCGAGCGGGCCGCAGGCAAGTGGCGAGCGGGCTGCAGGGGCAGCTAGCGGGCCGCGAGCAAGCGGCGAGCGGGCGGCAGGGGCGGCGAGCGAGCCGCAGGCAGGCGGCGAGCAAGCTGCAAGGGCGTCGAGCGGGCCGTAGGGGCAGCAAGCGGGCTGCAGTGGCGGCGGGCGGGCCGCGAGCAAGCGGCGAGCAGGCGGAAGGGGCGGCGAGCGAGCCGCAAGCGGGCGGCGAGCGGGCTGCAAGGGCGGCGGGCGGGCCTTAGGGTCGGCGAGCGGGCCGCAAGGGCGGCGAGCGGGCCTTAGGGGGGGCGAGTGGGCCGCAAGGGCGGCGAGCAGGCTTAGGGGCGGCGGGCGGGCCGCAAGCGGGCGGCGCGCGGGCTGCAGTGGCGGCGCGCGGGCCACAAGGAAGTGGCGAGCGGGCTGCAGGGGCAGCGCGTTGGCTGCAGGGGCGGCTCGTGGGCTGCTAGGGGCGGCGCGACGAGCTACTAGGGGCGGTGCCGCGGCCAGCAGGGCGGCGCGTCAGTAGGGTAGGGCGGCAGGGCAGCTAGTGGGGCAGCTCTGTGGTGGGCCCAAAAAAAAAAATCGGTCCTAGGGAAAGACCTGCTTTGAAACCATGTCAAACTAACGAACGAGAATGAATTGCATTGAGCAGAAAGTTGGTACAAGTACTAACCCTAATTGGGTTGTACCCCTTATGGGCTACCCTGCTATAGCCTACAAAAAGTAAGCACTATAACCTTCTGACACACATCACGTCCCGGAACACAGGGTGCTTCAAATTAGAGCCTACCCTAGTTGACCTAGGTTACTCGGAGAAAGAAACACGCTGCTCAAGGCCTTTTCACAGAAACTGCAGCAGCAGGAGACACACAGCAGAGCCTAGGGAACCCTGCTGAGTTTCTTTTCAGTAGCCCATCTGTAACCTGCCAGGATAGGTTGCTAAAGCCCTGATGCTTGCTCACTTCCTCTTGGCAGGCCAAAAGAAGTTGATGCGCCATTGTTTCCCACCTTCCCAGCAGCCCACCTGTACCCTGCTAACATAGGCTGCTCATGCCCTGATGCTTGCTCAATGCCTCTTCACAGAACCAGCGGCAGCAGAAGCCACAGCAGAGCCAATCGAACCACTACTGCCCATCTTCCCAGCAGCCCACCTGTACCCTTCTAAAATAGGCTGCTCATGCCTTGATGCTTGCTCACTGCTTCTTCCCAGAACCAGAAGCAGCAGCCACAGCAGAGCCAATCGAACCACTACAGCCCGCCTTCCCAGCAGCAACATCTGGATCGGGCTAGGACAGGCTGTCCAAGCCCTGATGCTTTTGAGGCGCCTCAAAGGCCCAAGACTTGATGCTTGCTCACTGCTTCTTCACAGAACTAGCAGCACCAGCAGCCACAGCAGAGCCAATAGAACCACTACCGCCCGCCTTCCCAGCAGCCCATCTGTACCCTTCTCGGATTGCTCATGCCCTGATGCTTTCTCACAGCTTCTTCACACCACCACCAGCACCAGCAGCAGCCACAGCAGAGCCAATGGAACCACTGCTGCCTTTCTTCCCAGCAGCCCATCTGTACCCTGCTTTCTCCCGTATCTCCCTCACTCCCCTGTCCATCACCCCTTTACCTACCCTCACCATTCTACCCGCCTCCTCTCTCCCCATCGCCACCATCCTCTCCCCTACCTCCCTCACTCCCTCTATCCTCCTCGCCACCTCCCCTCCCACTTGCTCCCGCACCATCCTCGCACCTTCCTTCAGATCAGCATCCCGCAGTTCCTGCACCTTCCTGGCAGCTTCCTCTGCCCTTTCTCTCATCGATCGCTGCAGGCTGCCGTCCGCCACGCTGGCGGCCAGGCTGGACGCCACGTCAGTAGAACGCTCTTTGATTTTTACCAGATTCTTGGCAGCGCCGTGCGTTGCCTCCTCTGCTCTCTGTTGGATCAAATCCGCCCACCAACCGGGGGGGAGAATAGCAGGTTCTTGTACGCTGCAAGGGGGGGAGCGCACACAGACATAGCCAGATTACCCGGTTGATTATTATTGTTTTTGTCTGTACCCACCCCCGCATTAATAGAAAGGACCGTTTGAGTGAGCGAGAGCAAGAAGGAAGGCATGGAAATGCATTTTGGAAAGGAAACAGGAGAAGATCTGTGGGTGGCACCACGCTGTGCCTGCTGTGCTCTCTGTTGGATCAAATCCAGGGGGGAGGGAGGAGGTGATGAATACGCCACACTCGCATGTCCCCCACCTATCTTCTGAATTGACTTTCCCTGCCGCAATACAAGCAGGCACAACCATCCCAGCCATAGAACCACTCACCTGCCCTCCTCCGTCCCATCAGACGCGCTGCCTTCCACACTCGCACCTCCTCCTCTTGCCTCCAATCCGCTGACAAACGCTTCCTCCCCTGCGCGTGCCACCCCACTCGCCTCTTCCTCCTCCCCTCCTTCCAGCCCCCCACTTGCACCACTCATCTCCCCTTCACCCCCACCATCACCACCGCTGCTAAACCCTACAATCTCAGCTCTTAGCCTCTCTACCTCGTCTCGTAGTGACTCCCTTTCCTTCTCCACACTCTCTCTCTCTTCCCTCTCCCTCCTCACACTCTCCTCCTCCTCCACTCGCACTTTTTCTATCTCCTCGGCCAATCGCGCTGCTTCCCGCCTTGCTGACTCAGCCTCCTGCCTCGCCACGTCAGCTTCCTTCCGAGCCTCTGCCACCTCCACCCTAACCGCAGCCTCGTTCACAGTCTCATAGGTTCGGCCGAACGTGAGCGCCGCAGCAGCCTGCGCGTGCGTAACGGGCTTTAAGGGGTCGAACCGACGAACATTACCAAACACCAAGGGAATAACCGCTGCATTAGCAGCAGATTTGATAACTTGCCCGCTTCCCTGCCCTTCCCTCGGCCCCTCCCCCAGCCCCTTCCCCCCGGCCTTGCCCCGACCGTCCCCCCAACCCTCCCCCTCCCCCTCCCCCTCTGGTTGGTGATCCATCCCCCCCCGGTGATGCAGGAGATCGAAAGAGACGGCTCTTTGGGCGGCAGGGGAGATTCGTGCGGCGTCTATCAGCCCGCATGTGTGGCGCAGGGCGGCAAGGTCGGGCGGCGGGAGGTGGGAGTACTCCAGAGCGAAGCGCCACGTCAGCAGATCCTGACGAGTCAGGGGACTGGTGTAAAATATCAACAAGGAAAAGAAAAGGGTAAAGACAACGTCAAGAAGAGCTGGGGAGGTGGAACAATCAAGTTAGAGACGAACAATCAACTGTCTTGCAAATCACCCATCCCTTGCATCCATATCCCTTATTATCACCCCCTCTTTACCTGTCTGGCCGAAATAGCGCCTCACCCTCCCCTGAACCTTCCCCTACCGCTGCCCCTCCCCCCTCGTCCCTCCGACCCAACAGGCTCGGCAAAATGCCAGCTTCGGCCAGACCTGCATTGCAGGTACGGAGGGAACAGAACAAGGAAAGTGGCGAGTTGGTCCAGGAAGCGCCAAGGGACGACCGGAGAGCAGTGGAAGCACTCGCTATCATCGTTGAGATGGCGATACTAGAAAGGGTAACGGTGGGAGATAAATGAGGGTGTTCCTGTGAAAAGGCTAAGACAAGTGATACGAGAGGGGGCTGAACGAGGGCTTTCGAAAAGGCTAATAGAGAGGAGTGATAGACAAGGGTAGGGAGGTAACATGATGCCTCAACGCCTTAAATGTGTTACAGCTAAGCCTTCAATGCTAGGATGCAGAGAGAAGGATGGCATTTCGAAAATTCTCAAAACCGTGATAGCAACAGCTGCTCTCACCTTGAATGGCTGCGAAGTCCTTGTCATCAGGTGCCACGTCAGCATAGGCCTGCTCCGATATCCCCTCTATAAACATGGCGGGATACACCCTATCAGTGGGCGAGGCCGAGAGCTTCTCACTGAACGCCATGAGCCACGTGGCAAACTCCCTCCTCGTGCAGATGCCAGCTGGTGCCACGTCAGCATCTATCACCTGTTAGGGTGGGTGCATGTGCGGAGAGGTGTTGGTGCAAAAACCATCGATTCAGTACCGAAACCATCGAAATGACTTATAAAAGATTAGTAACGAATACGCTCCTGTACAAAGGCTAAGAGTTCACATGAGGCGCCACCACCACCCTCATCCTCCCCTCCCTCCCAAATCAAGTCTGTAAAAAACCTCCCCGTAATCACCTGAAGCAAGTTCAGTCCTTTCAGCATGCTCCGGGTTCACATGAGGCTAAGAGTTCAGCATGCTCCGGGTTCACATGAGGCTAAGAGTTCAGCATGCTCCGGGTTCACATGAGGCATCACCGCCACCCTCATCCTCTTCCATTTCCCCTTTCCAGCCGTGTTGTGAGTCGCCTCAAGCCATTGACTTTGCCTGCTATCACCTGTATTCTCTGTATCTCACCTGCAGCTCTTTCAGTCCTTCCAGCATGCGGGCATGCTCCGGGTTCACATGAGGCGCCACCACCACCCTCATCCTCTCCTCCCTCCCCCTTCCCACCACCATCCCTCTCCATCCCCCAGCACCCATACCCTTCGTCACCTCCCCCTCCCCCACCGCATTCCCCCCCTCTCCCTCTCCGATTTCCCTCTCGTCTCCCTTCGCACCCTCTTCCTCACTCGCTTCTTCCCCCGTTCCTTCTCTCCTGTGCTCCTCTCCTCCCTCCACCGTCTCCCCCTCTGCTGCTTCTGCACCTGCCTTCTGCCCTCGCCTCCCCTTATCAGTGTCTTGGGATGGCATATCTACCAGGATGGAACGAGAAAGCACACTGGAGAACACATTAGAACCAGAATTTGCTTGTTCAAGTCAGACTCATACAGAAGGAGATGGCAAACTATAACACATCAGAGCTGGAAATTCCCTTCCTCTGTTGAAATCTCGAACAGCGGGCAGCAGCCTACAAAAAAGATAATCGGAATTGAAATCTGCTAACGGGAGGTGGTTATATCGAGAGAAAGTTGTTTCACCTTCATGAGCGCTGACGGTGGTGACTGAATCACGACGTGAGTGTAGCAGAGGGATGCCTGTAGGGAGAGACACGACAGTGTGAAGTGAACAAGGCACTCAAACGAAAGCATGGGTGTAGCACGAGAGGGCGAGGATTATTGTGGGTTCATTGCATCACAGCATTCAACTGAGAAAAGCGAAGAAAAAAGAGTAAGGAAAAAAAGCGCGTGAGAGACTTCTAGCAATTATTTTAGTAACAATGAATTCTACAAGTTGAATCAGTTGCTGCCACGTAAAGACTATGGCTCCCGTTTGGGGCTCCAAGCGCAGCCCCTCCGTCTCCCCCTCCCCACCCACCCCTCGTCTGGTCATTCCCTGCTCTGTCTTTCACAAGCTTCATGCACTCTCTGGTTCACCATTCCCATACGCACCTTTGTCGCTCAGAGTCCCTCGGTACAACAGCACGGCACCGCACAGCAGAGAGGCGATCAGAAGAGGCTCTGAGGAATCGGGGCAGGAGGGGAGCGGAAAGGGGATAGCACCACACCACAGGGAGGCGATCAGAAGAGGTGTGAGCGGAAGGGGTGTGGGATGAGAGGGGGATGAGAGGAGGATGAGAGGGGGATGAGAGGAGGATGAGAGGGGAAGGACCAGACACCATCACGCCATCACAGCATCACCATAACTATCACATTCACCAGAACCAGAACCAACTCACTTGCGATCGACGCCTTTCGACGCGAAGCGAGTGGTCCAGGCCGGGCAACCCGAACCACGTCAGACGACCAACCGTTGAACGCCAGCTGTTGCACCACCACTGCCTCGCCGCTGCCCGCAGCAACGGATGACGTGTTTGGAGACGATGCTGAGTCAGCAAAAGCTGACTCAGCAGGCCAGCTCCAGGAACTCAGCGCCACCTCCTCTTCACTGCTTCTATTACGCCCGGGGTCGGTTTTGGATCCTTTATGGTGGTTACCAGCGCGGTGGTTACTGCTACTGCTCGTCTTTGCACGAGCTGGCTTCTGCGGATCAAGCTGTCCCGCAGCTGACGCCGTAGCTGGCGCCGCAGCAGGCGCCGCAGCTGGCGCCTGAGCGACAACTTGGGCCGTTTCCCGAGTTGCCTCAAAATTCGACTTGCCACGAGCAGCGTCACTCCCGGCGTTCTCATCCGCCATGCCGTCATCATTATCAATATCATGTTCAGAATCAGCTTCAACATCGTCATCGTCATCGTCAACGCCATCGCGAGCGCTTTCGTGAGCCTTCGCCAAGCTGTTCACGAGAGCCTTGGTGACGTCGTGAGGGATCATGGGCGACCTGCCATCGGCGCGCAGCGAGTCCTGATCAGAGCTCCTGCCGGAATCATAAGCTTTATCAGCGCCATCATAAGTTCTTCGGTCACCATCGGAATCCCCAAGGCGATAGGCATTGCCAGGGCCATAGGGATTGCCGTCTCTATCGCTGTCGCTAAAAGGATCATCGCCGCCAGGATTGTTCTCCACCCAATCCCAGTGCCGGCTCTGAGCAGACGCGCCGCGGAACAGCCTATCCCGGCCTGACACGTGGAGGCTTTGGCTAGGCGAGAACCCGTGTCGGCCTTTCCGGAAGTTATTATTTGACGATCGTAACTGTTTTATTCGGAGTGATCCCAGTGGATCCGCGTACAGCTGACCCGCTGCTGCAGCTTCCGCTATTCTGCTCGAACTCGGGAGGCTAACTGGTAGCCTCGCGCGCTCGGCGCCGCAAATAGCGGGCGTTCGCATGATGCCAGCTGACAGAGGACTACGATCGAGAGTCTGATCCAAAGTAACTGTAACTAGTTGGAACTAGGTTTCGTTACAGCATCAGCAAGTACAATCTCCTGGACCAGACATTCTGGCAGCAAAAAGAGGCGCCATACCAAAGAAAATGGCCATGAAAGAAGGAATTTGGCAAGACAGCGAATTCGAGCGGAAAAAGTCTGAGCGGGGATGAGCTGAGCACTTCGTGGAGGAGATTCCTCGGCGGAGGTGGCGTGGCGGCTCTGAGATGAGGGGGGTCTGAGAGTATTAGAATTTCCGGCGAGGTTCCACTATGGATTAGAGCTTTCCGAAACGTTTTGCCCTGTTTCAGTGAGGTTGGGTTAGGCCGAGGTTAAGGGCTGTTACTCCAGCTTGTCGACGCACATTCTCCGAATGTCAGGGACACGTCAGGTGGGCAAGTGAGTGGCCAATCAAAGGCGAAAGATGGTCAGTGTCGTGGCACAGAAGGTGCTTCATTCAGACACCGAGGTTCGAGACCGAGGGGCATTCAAGAACACAGCCAAGTGTGGTTACCAGCGCCACCTATCAGCAAGTATCCTCGTCTCTGAGTGACACTTAAACAAGATTTCAAACCAGGTAAGCGACTTCGATTGTAACTATCTTACAGTTACGACTGTTAGTGATTGTATACCTTTGTTATGAGTGCAATTGAGTGAGAGAGCGAGAATTGCACTATCGAAGCAAGAGGACAATGAGAGAAGGTATGAGCGAAGAATATATAGCGAAACTACAGTGGTAACGATAATGTGTGGAAAATGGGGTGCGCGACTGGCCTAGCGCCGAGGTTGGGAATTGTCGAGTCGGAGGTCCGGAGCGCGGGTTACAAACCGAACCGTGAGGTTGGGTCGCGTCGTGAACAGTGGCGGGAAACAGTGTCGAGGCGAGTGTCGCGAGTGGTAACGGATTACTGTTGGGTGCTATTGGCGGGAAACAGTGGTGTATGCGTTGAGCAGGGACGCGAAGTAAGCAAAAGGATTTTTCCTTACACTACCCCCCCCCCCCCCCCCCCCCCCTAAGGAGGCCCTCCTTACGAAAGCGCGTGTACATCCCGGAAATTTCGGCTGCGCAGATACTCGGTGAGGATGGGGTGGTTTTCAACTCTGTCCAGGGGAACCCAATTGTCTTCAGTGGGCATACGGTCTTTCTAGCGGATCAGAAATTTGATCCTTCGAGCTCCCCGTGGGTCACGAACTCGGTGTCTCATAATCTTTTCGGGCGTGATGATTGGTTCTGTCGGTGGTCGTGTCATGCTGGCTGGGCGGTTGCGGGGCAGTTGGCTGGTGGATGGTACGTAAGGGCGAAGCAGGCTGACGTGGAAGGACGGACTGACGTACCAGTAAAACTAGGTTGTCGGGCTGGTAAGTGACAGGTCTGCGGTGGCAGTCGGCGTTGCGTTTAGCGATGACGTTGGCCTTTTTAATTGCGTCGGCTGCCTGGGTCCGAGCTGCTTGTAAGATTTCTGCGAACTGTTGCGTGCGTGGTACTGGGTTGTCGGGATTCGGGGTCATGGGTACTGTAGGGTCTTGTCCGTAGTCCAGGCAAAACGGTGACTGTTGGGTCGTGGCGGATGGCGAGTTGTTGTACGCGAATTCGATGAGTGGCAGTTGCTGTTCCTAGGTGGTCGGATCGTCGCACGTGGCTCGGATGAGTTGCTCCATGGTTTGGTTTGTCCGTTCTGTCTGTCCGTCGGTTTCGGGGTGGTACGAAGAACTAAACCGTAGTCGCGTGCCGAACTGTTGCCATAGGTTCCGCCAGAAGTTGCTGGTGAATTTCGTGTCGCGGTCGCTGATGATCGCTGCTGGTATCCCGTGTAGTTGAACGACGGTGGAGATGAAGAGGCGGGCTGCTTCTTCGGCTGTGATTGATTTCTTGCAGGCCGCGAAATGTGCCATTTTTGTCAGCCGATCGACGACGACCAGGATCGCGTCGTTCCCACTTGCTCCGGCTGGTAACCCTGTGACAAAGTCCATCGTCACCTGCTGCCAAGTACGCTCTAGGGGTGGTTTCGGCTGCAATTGTCCTGCCGGCCGCTTCCGTGATGATTTCATGAGTTGGCAGGTGGGACACGATGCCACGTGTCGCTGCACGTCGGTCAGCATTTCGGGCCAGTAATAATACCGCTGCAGCTGCTGCCATATTTTTTCTACTCCGAAATGGCCTGAGGTAACTCCGTCGTGTGCCTCCCGTAGCAGTAATTCCCGTAGTAACATGTAGCTCGGTACCCAGATTCGGTCGGTGCCGGTTTTTACGTAATAAACTCCCTTTGCTGCTGCGAACTGCTGCGAATTTCCTCCTGTGAAGAATGGGTCAATCTGATAGCCGTGGGCAAATAGTCCTGTCAGTAGTGGGCTGGTCTAGGCGAGTAGTATGGCGTGGATTTGGGCCGTGGGGCGGGTCAGTGCGTCGGCGATGTTCGATGCCCCCTTTTTGTAGGTGATTGTGTAGTGAAAATTTGACTCGAGGAAATCGAGCCAACGAATCTGTCGTGGGTTGAGGTGGGGCTATGCGCGGAGGTACTATAGTGATTTATTGTCTGTCTGTACTGTCACGTCTGCGCCGGTCAAGTAACAGCGCCACACTTTGAACGCGTGCACGATGTCAAAACATATGTGCTTATGATTACTTAGGCTGTAGTGGGTTTAGCCTTAGGGGGTACAACATTACTCTCGACATTATACTTGTACTCCCCTCATGACCTAATGCAATCATTCCTTCCTACTAAGCTACATATTTCAACATGGTATTAGAGTAGTTACGACCCTTGGGCCCACCACCTGCTGCCCTGCGCGCCGCCCTCGTGCGGCCCTAGTCTCGACGTTTGGCACGGCCCGTCGCCCGTAGCCCCTAGGCCCCGGCCCGTCGCCCCGCGCCCGTCGCCCCTAGCTCTCGGCCCCGGCCCTGTCGCCCGTCGCTCGCGCCCGTCGCCCCTAGGCCCCGGCCCTGTCGCCCCGGCCCCGTCGCCCCGGCCCGTCGCCCCTAGGTCTGTCGCCACGGCCCGTCGCCCCTAGGCCGGCCCGTCGCCCCTAGCCTCCGGCCCCCGGCCCGTCGCTCGCGCCCGCCGCCCCTAGGCCCCGGCCCGTCGCCTCGCGCCTGTCGCCCCTAGCTCTCGGCCCCGGCCCCGTGGCCCGTCGCTCGCGCCCGTCGCCCCTAGGCCCCGGCCCCGTCGCCCGTTGCCCCTCGGCCCGTCGCCCCGGCCCGTCGTTCCTAGGCCTGTCGCCACGGCCCGTCGCCCCTAGGCCCGCCCGTCGCCCCTAGGCCGGCCCGTCGCCCCTAGCCTCCGGCCCCCGGCCCGTCGCTCGCGCCCGCCGCCCCTAGGCCCGTCGACCCCATCGCCCGTCGCTCCCCTAGGCCCGGCCCGTCGCCCAATGCCCCTAGGCCCGTTGGCCCCGTCGCCCGTTGCCCCTCGGCCCGTCGCCCCGGCCCGTCGCCCCTAGGCCTGTCGCCACGGCCCGCCGCCCCTAGGCCAGCCCGTCGCCCCTAACCTCCGTCCCCCTGCTGATCGTACAGCAGGGGGGGGGGGGGGGGGGGGGGGGAGGGTATGGGGGTGGTGGGGGTGGCGAACGACGGGTCCCTGCCCGTCGCGCGCCCTGCAGTCGCACACGCAGCTCATTCCCCGCCCCCACCCCCCTCCCCCCCCTCCTTTCCCCCCATGGGGAGGGGGGGAGAGGGTGTGAGGGGGTGGCGGATGTGCCTCAGCAGCAGCAGCTGCCGCCACGCCTCCTCCTCTCTCACGGCCGCGTCTACTGCTGCGGGGAGAGGGTGTGAGGGGGTGGCGGATGTGCCTCAGCAGCAGCAGCTGCTGCCACGCCTCCTCCCATCTCACGGCTGTGCTTGCTGCTGTGGGGGAGTGGGGGAGAGGGTGTGAGGGGGTGGCGGATGTTTTTCGTGCGACTTGCGGTCGCCCACGCAGCCCCTGCACCGCCCCCCCGCCCCCCCCCCCCCTGCTGATCGTACAGCAGGGGGGGGGACGGTATGGGGGTGGCGGGGGTGGCGAATGACGGGTTCCTGCCCGTCGCACGCCCTGCTGTTGCCCTGTTGTCCTGCGCGCCCCGCGCGCCCTGCTGCCCTGCTGCCCTGTGCGCCATGTGCGCCCTGCTGCCCTCTGCACGCGCATCTGCAGCCCCATGCACAACCCCAAACCCCCCCCCCCCCCCTTCTCCTCCCTCTCCCTGCAGCACGTGCAGCAGTTTGGGTGGGTGTGTGGGGGAGGGGAGGGGAGGGGGGGGGAGGGGAGGGGAGGGTGTGTGGGGGAGGTTGTGTTAGAATGTGAGCGAATGAATGGGTGAACTAGAAAGCAGGTGGGTACAAGTAGCAAACCTAAAAGTGTTGTACCCTACAAGAACTACCCCACTACAGCCTAAACAGACTATAGCATATAAGTTTGACACACCCCCATAGGCAAAGTGGGGGAGAACAAGCGGTCACAAGACCAGTCAAGAAAGGCAAAGCAAGCTCAGGGTGGATCACAAAGTCACCACGCAGTCTGAGCACAAGCAAATGGCCACAAG